AATAGCTCATTTTTACTTGTTCTTAAGCATTCCTTAATATTTCATGTCTTTCATGGGCTGGGAAGGAGGCTCAGTGGTAGAGTGCTTGCCTTGCAAGCATGAGTCTCTGGGTTCGATTCCTCAGCACCATATAAGCAGAAAAAGCCAGAAGTGGCACTGTGGCTCAAGTGGTAGAGTGCTAGCCTTGAGCTGAAGAGCTGAGGGAGAGCACCCAGGCTCCAGAGGTCAGGTCCCATGACTGCAAAAAATAAAAAATAAAAATAAAATAAAAAAATTCATGTGTTTCAAGAAATTTGCCCATTTCATAAAAGTTGTCAATTATGTTAGAATATTATTGATAAGAAGGAAGAGAACTGCTTCTAAGATTGGAATTTTGGGGGCTGGGAAGGTGGCTCAGTGGTAGAGCGCTTGCCTTGCATGCATGAAGCCCTGAGTTCAATTCCTCAGCACCACATAAGCAAAAAGAAAAAAGCTGTAAGTGGCACTGTGGCTCAAGTGGTAGAGCGCTAGCCTTGAGCTGAAGACCTGAGGGACAGTGCCCAGGCCCAGAGTTCAGGCCCCACGACTGGAACCAAAAAAAAAGATTGGAATTTTGTCTCATTAATGGGACAAAACTGTTCCCAATACTCTCTTAACTTCCAGGAATTACTACACTATTAACTGTAGCTACTGGAACAGGAATGGTGACATGTCTCATTTGCTCTCTGAAGATTCAAATCAATCATATGGTTCTTTTGTCTATATTAGTTTCTTGATAAATATATAACTATTAGTAGTTAATGAAGATGTAAATGGGATTCTCTAGAAATCTGTGTTCTATGGAGCTCCTCTGGTTCTTTTTTGCTTTTTTAACTTCTTAAGAGTCTGAACTTTTAGCTCTATCTCCTCAATTCAAAGACTTTTAGGCTCTACTTGGGTTATCCTTCTTATACTGTGGCATGGTTTCTCTAAGCAGTTAAATGGGAGGGAAGTAACCTCTGGTTTAATTTATTTCTTTCCCTCCTCTCCCCCTCCCCTTCTTCCTCTTCTTTCTTCTTCCTCTTCCTTTTCCTCCTCCTCTTCTCCTTGTTGTACGTAGGGCCCGAACTCAGAGCAGACACTGTCCCTGAGCTTTTCACTCAAGGCTAGTACTCTACCACTTTGAGCCACAGCACCACTTCTGGTTTTTGGATAGTAAGGAGATGAGAATCTCATGGATTTTTCTGCCCAGGCTGGCTTTGAACCACTATCCTCAGATCTCAGCCTCCTGAGTAGCCAGGATTACAGGTGTGAGCCCTCAGTGCCTGGCTTAAGTTATTCATTATCTCACAGGATTCACTGATCAAGGAGTGTGTTTGTGAAACTAAGTATTAGTATGTAGACTACGAGAGATTTTAAACCTCAATCTTGTTGCCTAGTCTCCCAAATACGGCTCAATGATTTATTTTTGTATGTGCTGGTGATTAAACTCAGGGTTTGGGTGCTGTCTCTGGTTTTTTGCTCAAGGTTAGAGCTTTACCACTTGAGCCACAGCTCTACACAGGGCCTGGACACTGTCCCTGAGCTTTTATTTTTTTGTTTAAGGCTATCACTCTACCAGTTGAGCCACAGTACCACTTCTGGCTTTTTCTTTTTATGTGGTATTGAGGAATTGACCCCAGGGTTTCATACAGGCTAGGCAAGCACTCTACCACTAAGCCAAATTCCCAGCCCAACTTCTAGCTTTTCTGATGGTAAATTAGAGATAAGCCTCTAGCAGACTTTCTTACCTGAGGTGGCTTTGATCACAATCCTCAAATCTCAGCTTCTAAGTAGCTAGCATTATAGGCATGAGCCACTAGGGCTTGATGAGGGTTTTTATTTTTTAAATACTGAGGCTATGAGAACAGATTGAAGTCATCATTAGTAGTATACAATACTCTGAAAAGGGAAGGTAGATAAAGTGGAAAATAAATTCAAATGTGCTTGATGTCAACTGTTGACACTTTGTAAACACTAAACACAAGATCTGAACTCATTTTTGAGGGGGAAAGTAGAAGATAAACTAAACAGAATCTAGCTGGGTGCCAGTGGCTCATGCCTGTAATCTTAGCTACTCAGAAGGCTTACACTTGAAGATCACTGTTGGAAGCCAGCCCAGGCAGGCAAATCTGCAAGAATCTATCTCCAATTAACCAAGAAAGTGGGAACTGGAAGCATGGCTCAAGTGGTAGAGTACCAGCTGTAAGTGGAAAAAGCCTAATGAGAGCCGGACGTCAATGGCTCATGCCTGTAATCCTAGCTACTCAGGAGGCTGAGATCTAAGGATTGTGGTTAAAAGCCAGCCTGGGGAAAGAAAGTTTGTGAGACTCATCTCCAATTAACCACCAGAAGTGGCGCTGAGGCTCAAGTGGTAGAGTGGTAGAGTGCTAGCCTCGAGTAGAAGTTCTGAGGGACAGCACCAGAATTCAAGCCCCATGAATGACAAAACGAACAAACAAAAAAAAGCAACAAAGCCTGAGCTTAAGCGCCAGTATGAGCACAAAAACAACTCCCCCAGTCATATGAACAGTATAAAATTAGAACTGTTTGGGAGAGGATTCATGGAGAAGATGAGGTGTGTGTCTGATTGATCCAAGTACTTTATATGCATTTATGAAAAGAATGTAACTCATTAAAATTGCTTAAAAAAAAAAAAAAGAGCAAATGGGGGAGTAGCTAAAGCTGTAGAACACTAGCCTTAAGCAAAAAAGCCAAGTGAGAGCATAAGGTCCTGAGTTCAAGTCCTTGTGCATGCACACACACACACACACACACACACACACACACACACACACACACACACACACACGGAGTGACAAGGGCACAAGAAAGAACACAAGGTGTGAATTTATCCAAAGTAAATTATATGCATGTATGGAAATATAATAAGGTACCTTTGTGTAATTAATATGTTAATAAAAATCAGATAAATAAATATACATTTCCTGAGAAATATATTTTACACTTCATTGCCTTTGAGAATTAAAATGGCTCTTTTTTCCCTGAAGTACTGAAGACAAATTATTAGTATTACTGTAGTGAGAAAAACAATGGACAATGTATTTAAAGATGTAACACATATTAACCTATCTTTTCTTGAAATTAAATTCGTATCATTTTTGTTATTCATATTAATTTACATCACTTCAACAGATATTTCCAGTCTGTTAACATTAAAAAGATTCTGATTCTGACATCCAACCTTGACATTTATCAAGGTATTGTATATTTGCCTTTGCATTATATGCAAATATAGTCTAATCTCAATCATTGGTAGATCACTTGAATAAAGCTCAGGATAAACACTAAGTTATTCCAGTAGAATGCTACAAATTAGTATCAGCAGACCTTTTGAGGCTGGCTAAATAAAATACATCCAATGGGGCTGGGAAGGTGGGGCTCAGTGGTAGAGTGCTTGTCTTGCATGCATGAGGCCCTGGGTTCAATTCCTCACCACCACATAAGCTGGAAATGGCGCTGTGGCTCAAGTGGCAGAATGCTAGCCTTGAGCTGAAAAGCTGAGGGACAGCGCCCACGCCCAGAGTTTGGGCCCCACGACCGACTAAAAAAAAAACAAAAACAAAAAACAAAAAATCCAATTTTCCCAGTAGTGAATTTTCATTATTCTATATGAACATTAATCTCAAGTGCAATATACTCCACTATTTCTTGGTTTGCCATAATAAGTACTACATGCATATCTGTTTACATGAATTCAAATGAATAGTAATCAAACCAAAGCTCTTCTGACATACACTCTCCTCTAGACCTAAACAAACTTTAACTGATTTACAGAATGATTTTTTGATTAATAGAGTGAACTACATATAAAAGTGGCCATTTTAAATATTCACATCAGTGTCACGATTATTCACAATGTTGTGTAACTATCAGCATTATCCATTTTCAGAATTTCATCTCAACGAGAAGCTTTACCCCATTGGTAATCACTATTCTATTGTCTGTCTGTAAATTTACCCATTGTAATTACCTTTTTTTGTTGTCATTCTTGTTTGTTTCTTTTGTGATACTGCGGCTATAGCCTAGGACCTCACAAAAACCAAGCAGTTACTCTACCTCTTGGTTACTCTCCCAGTCCATGAAGTAGATTATTATAGGAAAATTCAATAGTTGTATGATGTGTCTGTTTTTTTCCTTACCATATTGTTTTCAAGATTCATTCATAGTAAAGCACAACTCAGATTTTGATTTCCTTATGACTGAATATTCCATATAAGAAAATGTGTTTATTAAAAATTTGATTGGTTCCTAAGTTCAGCTATTGTGAATAATACTGCTATAAAGACCATTATATAAGCATTCAAGTTCCTGCATTCAGTTTTTTTCCTTTTGGAATGGATCTAGAAGTGGCACTGCTAAACCAACCAAAGGTTTTCTAAAGCAGTTGCATTACTTTTTTTTTTTTTTTAATTGTGAAAATACTGTACAGAGGGGTTACAATTACATGGGCAAGATAATGAGTACATTTCTTAACAAGCATTGTAGCCTCCTCCTTTGTTTCCCCTTCCCATCCTCCTCCCGCCCCCCCCCCCCCATTACTTATATACTCACCACAATACATAGGGTTCCAATTACCTTGATGATGGGTGTGAAATAGTGTTTAATTTTGGTTTCACTTAACTTTTATAATGATTAGAAATGTCCAGAATATTTTCATGTATTTAATGGCCATTTGTATAACTTCTTAAGTCCTCTGACCATGTTATTAATTTGGTTGTTTTATTTGCTCACTGTTGAATTGTCCCTTAGTTCAATATTCTGGATATTAACTCCATATCAGACATATAAATTATAAATACTATCTCCTATTTTCTGTTTTATTCATTATTATTAGTTTGGTACATAAAATGTTGAGACAAAAATATTAATAATAAATTATACTGAATAATATTTCATTGTATCTATATAAGGAATAGTGTTTAATGAAAAATTAATTTGTTTCTACTTTGGGCTACTGTGAATAAAAAAAGGTAACTTACCATCTCATTTCCAAAAAGTATGTCAACGTAGGGCATAACTTTCATTAAGGATTCCTTGTAGAATTGGCATATAAATGGTGCAGAGAGATTCAAAGTGAAAATCCTGTTGTTGTCAGAAGCATGGTGAGCCACTTTTAATACAGACTCCGGGGAAACTGTAAGGAAAAAACCCTGCATAAAAAAGAAAGAAAAGAAGGGAAAAAATTAAAAGCATCATCTCCATAGTCACTCCCACTGAGAATAAAAGAAGCCTATAGCAAGTGGGGCTCACGCCTGTAATCCTAGCTACTCAGGAAGCTAAGATCTGAGGAACGAAAGTTCACAGCCAGCCCAGGCAGGAAAGTCTGTGAAATCTTATCTCCAATAAACTACTAGAATACTGAAAGTGGCACTACAGCTCAAGTGGTAGAGTGCTACCCCTGAGCTGAAGAGCAGAAGGACAGCACCCAGGCCCAGAATTCAAGCCCTATGACCAACCAACCAAACAAACAAACAAAAACCTATATAACAATAAAAAAGCCCACATCAAATGCAATTACAAAACACCAGGGTGACTGTGGCTACATTTAGCTAGGAAAAATATGAGCATGAAATGCTTGATACATACCATTACTTCAGATATTAAACAGTTCTTATTTCATATTAGATTTATATGCTTAATACCAAAAGAATACTGAGTCCACAAAAGATAAAATATTTAAAAGGTTTCATTTAAGACAATAGACATTAAAATTTTGTTTTCAGGTCCTGAGGTTTGAACTCAGTACCTGTGTTTGCTAGGCAAGTCTCCTACCACTTAAGCCAGGCTTCCCTCCCTGAAACACAGTAATGCTTTTTAGATGGCATAGATACATATGTAGGAAATTGGTTTCCATGGTATTGTGCAATGAGCAGATATAAATATTTAGAAACGCAAAGCACAGCCAATGAAAATGAACCTGCAAAGGTGATTTAAGTAAAAAAGGGCATTAAGTGGCAAGTTAAAAAGTAGATTTGGAGCTGGGAGCCAGTGGCTTATGCCTGTAATTTGTATAAACTTCTACAAGTTTACACAAACCATTAAGAAATATTCTTGAAAATATTCAAGAAATTTCTTTGAAAGCTGCGCATGTAGCTGGGCATAGGTGGCTCACGCCTGTAATCCTAGCTACTGAGGAGGCTGAGATCTGAGGACTGTGGTTCAAAACCAGCCTGGGCAGGAAAGTCTGTGAAACTCTTATCTCCAATATACTACCAGAAAACCAGAAGTGGCACTATGGCGCAAATGGTAGAGTGCTAGCCTTGAGCTGAAGAGCTGAGGGACAGCGCCCAGGCCCAGAGTTCAAGCCACACGACCAACCAAACAACAACAACAACAAAAACAACAACAAAAAACCCCCAAAGCTGCACATGTAACCAGTGTGGCAAACACCTAGAATCCCAGCACTGAGGAAGCTGTGGTAAGAGAATTACAAGCTTGAGGCCAGCTTGGGCTACATAGTGAGACCTTATTTAAACAAGCTAACAAGCAAAATATAGTTGCACAACTACTACTGTAACTGAGGGCCTAACCATTTACATCCATGCAAGGTTATGTTTAAAAAGAAAAATAGATCTTTTTCAATCATTTTCATATTTTGAATTGAATGATGATCATTTCTGAAGGCTCCCATGTCACATAAAACTGTGTTAAATTTGTTGTGCTTTTCTCTTACTAATCTGTTTTATGTTATAGGAGTATCAGTCTCAACCCCTACAATGGATTTTCTTTCCTTTGTCTCTTTATCACATTAAATATTATAAAAATTATATTGAAATTCCAATAAAAATGACATTTTCCTATATAAAATAGGTTTTTCATTTAAAAAATTCGAACCCATCAATTCCTTATTAACATTGTTATTTTAAAATGTGTCAAGTTTTAGGTGTCATATAGTATTTTCGTTTTTATTTTTGGCAGTAATCAACACTTCTGAGTACTGCCTTGGTTTTCCTGTCAGGCTTTTGGTGCTTTACCACCTGAGCCCAACATTTTGCTGGTTAATTGGAGATAAAAGTCTTGCAGAGCCGGGCGCTGGTGGCTCACGCCTGTAATCCTAGCTACTCAGGAGGCTGAGATCTGAGGATCGCGGTTCAAAGCCAGCCCGGGCAGGAGAGACCGTGAGACTCCTATCTCCAATAAACCACCAGAAAACCGGAAGTGGCGCTGTAGCTTAAGTGGTAGAGCGCTCGCCTTGAGCTGAAGAGCTGAGGGACAGCGCCCAGGCCCAGAGTTCAAGCCCCACGACCGACAAAAAAAAAAAAAAAAAAGTCTTGAAGACTTTTCTGTCCAGGCTACCTATAAATCAGGTCTCAGCATCCTGAGTGGCTAGGATTACAGGTTGAAGCCTCCAGTATCCAGCCCAGTATCACTGTTTTTAGAAATGTTTTAGCCTTTCTTTTTCAGACAAATATCATGAAACCTGCAAACTATGAATATCCAAGCTACTTTCTTTTGCTATTTCTATCATTTGGGGAATTAAAAAGGAACAGTTTACACAAATGTCTTGTTTCCATATTAGCATGTATGTATTTGCTTTTTTAGTTCTTTGTGTAATAGGGAGAATTTAAAGTTTTCCCTCTTTATTTCCCTCTTCCAAATATTGTAGCATGAAATAGAAACCTCCCAGAGCTAGCATTTTGCCAGCTGTGGATTAACCACAGACAGCCACAGAATGGTCTACATAAATAGTAACCTGGTCAAATAATTAAGCTCTCACCAACTTCAAACTGAAAATTTGATCTGTGCTCAAATACATCTGATTGTAATTTAAGGTACAGAACAGTATACCTCTGGAGACTAAATTTGGCCTTATTCCAAATGTGTGCATGTTGTGTGTTTTACTTTGAAATGTAATACAAGAATATTGTAATGGGGATAATATAACCTCAAATTTGTTAATTTTATAAAGAAAGGTAGGCAAAAGCCTATTAGCTTTTAAATAAGGGGTAAATTCACAATTCAAATTAATTATTTTCTTAGAATGCTTATTTTTTAAGTAAATATTTAGAATTCAAATAATTTGGGAATTTTGCTCTGTTAGATTGCAAAGTCTGTTAATATTGATGCCAACCATAATTTTGCTCCTAGATTTATAGCTGTTGCTAGGCCTCATGAGTCAGATTACAGTATCACCCAAAGTAAAAACAGTGTCATTATAAAAGAATTTTTTCACATGTCAGGTTTACAATAAAGACAAGTTAACAGTTTACATGTATATAAGTTTGGAAAAGTATACTATTAAGAAAACCTTGCCATTTTCTAATTATGGATTTTTGCCTACAAAGCAGTTTATCCTGTTAGTGTCTGTCTAATAAACAGCCAAATACAAAGTATACTTCAACACTCATAGGATAAGTAATATTAATCAGAATTAAGAATGTAGTGGGACATTTTTATTTACTACACTGGAGAACAAAATAAAAAAGCAGAGATAAGAGTGACAGGGAAAGATTAAGGTCGAGCCAAAGACTATTAACCCAGTACTTAGAAATCTCAACCCCTCTAAGAAATTGTAAGAGGGTTTATACACAGGGGAATAAATGTTAGGAATAGAATTTTTTTTATTGAACTTAAAGAGAAGGATCAAAATTGCTACTTTTAAGTGTTTACCTTAATTCAGGGTGATCACTGAGAATGTTTTATAATTATCTTTACCAAAGTACAAAAACTCTTATTTCTATTAACAATTATATGAAGAATAGACATGAACATGTACACATATACAGCTTTGTAAACTTAAGGGGATATTAACCTTTGAAGTGTAAGGCTTTATTGACTCAAAAGAAAATAAAACTATGTGAACTAACCATGAGTATAATTATAAGTAGTGGATACACCATGTGATAGAGAAAAAAATCGAGCTTGGCCTTTGTTTAGGAAAATATCCAGGCAGAAACAGATGTTATTAGGATTTGAACATTTCTGAGTTCATCCACTTTTCATTGAATACACTAGTGGATAATTTTTTATGCGTAGAGTAGAAAATGTCTATGCCATACCAATGTTCAATGAAATAAGACATAAAAATAATATATAAGCAGCATAATTATAACCTATGTTTATAATCATAACATATTAGTATGATTAAATCAATGGCTTAAAAAGGACTAAAAGGGACAAAATAAAAATGGAAAGTGTTATAATTGGGCAGATTAATTATGGAAACTGCTATTTGTTTTTAAATTTGGTGAGATGGTTGAATACTGTTCTGATAAAATATTTTGTGCATTTGAAGTAAATGTCTGTATAAACAGGAGATGTTTATATAAATAATGATAAGCTTAATTGAATAAATAAGAGTAGCCAGGCACCGGTGGCTCATGCTTGTAATCCTAGCTACTCAGGAGACTGAGATCTGAGGATCGTGGTTCAAAGCCAGCCAGGGCAGGAAAGGCCATGAGACTTTTATCTCCAATAGACCACTCAGAAAACGGAAGTGGAGCTGTGGTACAAGTGGTAGAGCACTCACCTTGAGCTGAATGAAGAGCTGAGGGACAATGCCCAGAGTTCAAGCCCCAGGACCAACAAAAAAGTATTAAAAATAAATAAATAAGAGTAATAACAGAGGGGGCTGGGAAGGTGGCTCAGTGGTAGAGTGCTTGCCTTGCAAGCATGAGGCCCTGGGTTCGATTCCTCAGCACCACATAAGCAAAAAGAAAAAGGCCGGAAGTGGTGCTGTGGCTCAAGTGGTAGAGTGCTAGCCTTGAGCTGAAGAGCTGAGGGACAGCGCCCAGGCCCAGAGTTCAGGCCCCACAACTGGACCCAAAAAAAAGAGTAATAATAGATACACAGCTGGGATTGAATCTATGAAACTTTGATGAGTAAGTCTCAGACAAGAACAAATTAAATATGAAATTAGGGATTATGGATAAATCACTATTTAAAGAAGTTAAAGAAGGATGTGTGGTTAAAAGAGCATAGTCAGCCTGCCTTCAGTGCTGCAACTCAGGTGCGTTAGTAGAAAATGAATAAATCAGAGGTTAAAAAAAAGAAATATAACAACCATATACCGTGTTTCCTCATCTTAATGTGTCTTACATATTTTGTGAATCTCCCAGAGAATGTAAAATCTATTTCCTTGTAGGAGTAGCAGAATCAAAATGAATTATGACAACAGTTTATAACTGCTTCTAAGGAAAATACTGGCTTT